CCTTCTTGTCATGTTGACTTTCTATTTCTACACCGTCAATTTATCTACGTAGATGACTGATAAATAGAAATTGGACATCGTTATGCATAACCTGAATTCCTCCGTGATCTTTCCATGGACAGGAGAGGTTCAGAAGAATGAGAATAAAGGATGTTTATTGTTTCTTCTAATGACTGTATGTCCAAGAATATCATAGAAATTGACAAAAATTTTTTGATGCCTATGGACAACCGCCTAGACATTAAAACCGGAGAGCAGAATTTTACGTTCATCTGTTACTAAAAACCTGCGTAATGTGGACCCCAAAATATCCTTTCAAGTTCCTATTCGGTCATTAAGGAACTCGCACATTGCGTTACTTAAAGTTAGCCCATAAAAGGCGGTTAAAGCTAAACTTATATAAACAGGCTGATCACGTGGTAAACCTAACTTTTCTCTTAGTAGCATCCGGCGCCTGTATTTGCTCATTTTTCTGCCCCCTTTCTGCCTCAAAAGTTTCATTCCGAACTTTTGTTCCCCACTGTCCTTTAACTTGCACACATTGTTGCTTAGTATCCGTGGCAATTGTTAGCGACCTTGATGTTTGCATCGCATTTCTGTGCGAATTCAATTTTGTATTCTCTCGTAGGTTATTCATGTTATGCAGTGAAAGGCCGCACCTGAAACGAAATCCCGAAATTTATGATTTCCATGAAATACTGCAGTCCCTGCCTGCTTTAATGATGTTAGCATAGTTTGACGGCAATTGTTTTGTGCCTGGTCCCCATGGTGGAGGACGCTGGTAATCCTTCCATGGCCTACAAAATCCTTCGCCATTTCGTGAGTAAAGGACAAGACAAGGTCCAACTGCACCTTAACATTGCAAGCGAAGACAACCCTGCGACAAACCCACTGAAGGAGGAAGCAGGATTACCAGCATCCTATACCGTGGAGACGAAGCGCAACACTAACTGCCGTCAACCTATGACAGAATCCACACGAGTGGCCAGGAAGCGAACGAGGAAAATTGATAAACCCTCGGCCGCCACGTATTGCCACCACTTCAAATTACTGTTCGATAATGACAGTTTAAGCTTTGATAAATGGCAGCTGGCCCAGTTCTCGGAAACGTCAGCTAACACAGCAAATCATTTCGATGAGCACTTACATGATATCTGATTCTTATCCCGAAATTTTTACTTTTGCAAACCTGAAAATTGGTTTTGTCTAAGTTGTAAACCCATCGCCGGAACCAGGGTTTTGATCGTCTGCTGCTTCAAATTAATATTCAGAGACATCAGATATCATAATGTTGCCATATTGTGTTGTCAGACCCTGAAACTTTGTCCTGTTTTCTACCGATCTCAGGTGTGCAAACTGGCTTAAGAACTAAGAAGCTAATATCGGCATGCCCTAGTGCTAATAATACTTTGAAGCCAGAAATGTGCGTCTCGCCTGATTAGCTAACTAATTCGCCTCATATTATATTAGTAATACAATTCCTCCTGTGTTCGCGTGTAACCCGTCTTTTTTTCTAATCAGGGCCTGGTCGACGAGATCTGTAGCTACTGACAGCTTTACAGATGCGACATTTTTACTGTGTCTATCGATCAGCAAGTTAAATGTGTTGCTTTACAGGTGTCACTTTCATTATCGATCAGCAATTTGAATGTGTTGCTTTACAGGTGTCACTTCCATTGTTAATCAGCGCTTTGAATGTGTTTCTGTGCGTGTCAGCAATGGGCCGATCGATATTTTCCCGTTGTTGCCTCGCCCTGGTGTGGATTTTGGCATATTGGAGGCAGTTTTTCCTGTTGCAAATTTAAATCATAGCGGAATCGCAGAATTTAATGGAACCACCGAATTTGGCTAGTGCTCTTCAGTTGTAACAATTCTCGCTGCATAACATGTATAACTTACGAGAGAATGCAAAAGTTGACTTCGTACAGAAAAATCGGTGCAAACAGCAAATAAGTAAATCAGCGAGCTGGATGTAACCAAGGCAATATAAGGTTCATCACGTGCCCCGATTGTTTAAATGTGGGGCGTTTTAACTTCTATTTATAGGCTACCTCCAGGTAGCGCAATTTACGATTTTATCGTTCACGAACAAGTATCCGAAGGGCTGTTTTGGGGTCCACAGAGTGATCCGTATGACGCAGGTGTTTAGTTGTAGATGAGCGTGGAATTCTGTTTTGCGTTTCAACAATAATCAAGGCTGTTCTCCATAGGCGTCAAACGATTTGTCTATTGTACGATATTCTTGGACGTTCTCCAATTGTTTACAAAAGCACCATTGCATGACACAATACACATCCTTTGTGCACATTCTTCTGTCCCCATAATATTGCGTGGGTATTAAAATTATGTTCAGCGAATGTCCATTTTTTATTTAACGGCCATCTATGTAAACAAATTGACGAGGTAGCAAACGAAACGGCAGTTGGCAAATAGATCTAAAGAGAACCAGCCTATATTGCTTTTAAAACGGGGAAACAGAATTCCATGTTCATCTATTACTAAACACCTGCATGATACGGGTCACTCTCTGGAGACCAACACATCCTATCATGTACTTGGTCCGGCACGATCAACGCGTACATTGCACTACCTGGAGGCAGCCTATATGGGGTGGTTAAAACTTTTGTCTCCTATGGTGTTGTAACTTGCATACAGTGTCGGTTAGTATATGTAGCAATTTGCTATGGCCTTGCTATTTGAATCGATTCTTCTATACGAATTCAATTTTTGTATTTTCTCATAGATTATTCATGCTATGCAGCGAGAGGCTGCAACCGAAATCACTTGCAAAATGTCTTTGTTCCATTTAATACTGCATTCCTTCCGTGAGTTAAAGGTATTAGCGTAGTTCGAGGGCAGTAAGTTTTGCACTGTGTCCCCATGGTGGATGATCCTTGTAAGACCGCTTCCTCCTCTGGTGGGTCCGTCGCGGGGCCGTCTTTGCGTGCATTCACAGCGTGACCTGGTTCTGGCCTTTATTTACGTAATGGCGCAAGAATGTGTAGGTTATAAGAAGGTCTAGATACTCTTTAATGGAATTCACCTCTGAAAACCATGTCTCAAGTCTCAGAAGATCCGCTTATGAGGTGCGTCGGCCTACAATTGTCGCTGCTTGAATATTAAGGATTTGGACAGTCTCTCCAGTATGATTTGCAACCTGTGGGTATGTGTCTACTTTCCGAACCGTCAGTTTATGTTCATGTAGGCAGGTCTGCAATTTTCATCCTGTTTCTCCGACGTAATTGCAGTCCCCATCGTTAAAAAGTATTTGCTAGACAATTGCGGGAGTTCAACGGAGAAATATATCTCCTTAGGCACTCCCTCTGCCAGGCCTTATTCCTGAAGTGATCTTTGAAAGGGTAGAACATTTAGTATCAGCCCCGTATCCGCCACAGTTTTCGTCTCGCTACGTCAATGGCACTTTCGTCATTGGCAAATCATCTGGTATTGAGCAGTTAAAACAATACTTGACCTCGGTTTGCCCGAATATCCAATTCACGATGTAACCTGAACTAAAAAACCAACTCTCCTTTC